AGTCAGTTTGTGTCATTTCTTGTGTCATGTTTTCATCTTTGTGACAATATTACTGTGTCATACAACCCAGGAGACATTTCTGAGTTCTCTCTTCTTTTACCCATTGTTGGTTTATTGTCATGAAGATGCAGGACTTCATATTGTCGTAAAAACAATAACTAGCCCACATGTGACAGGAGCAAAAAACACCCAGAAACTAGCAGGTTACAGATTGTTGATGCTGCTGCTTTATGTCCATTCCTGAAAACACTACTGGACTAAGTTTGTATAGATAAGAGAAACAATGTTTGGAAGGAATATTTCATTGCGTCGGCCATGTGAGCCAGTTATTTGGGAATTTCACGACACGACTAAAAATGTTGCCAGAAACACTTTAGTGAACACACGGCCTGAGTCTTGCCTACAACCGACTCAGATGTTTGGAATCAGACTCCTCAGATTCACATCAATCACCAAATCCATTTTCCATCAGCACAGTGATTCACGACCTTTTTGCACCTTTCCTTTTTCTTTTCACAAATCTGCACTTACTGCAGGGATTTATTTCCTTCCGTTCGTCCCCGCGAGACTCGCAAGCGGCACATTTATGCAGCTAATTTCCAGAGAGGTGAAGGTCGAACGGCTCCCCGGAGCAGCCGGAGGTTCAGCGACTCTCCAAGGACAACAGCGACGCCGAGGACAGTATTTTCAGAGAGGGACTGACCTGCTGACTGCTGGGCGACTGGACTGTCCATCATCCAGTGACAGATATATACCGACAGCCTTGTCCATTACAGGTCGGTTATGGAGATGTATGCTGCCTTCAAAGTTTGGTGCAAGAATGAACGCCTTTACAGTTTATTCTTTTCAATCCTCTTAACCACAAAACTTGTAAATTACGTTTGCTCCTACACCAAAGATGCTCTGAAGCTGGAGGTAAACCTGTCACAAACCATCACGAAGCTGCTGAGGACAGTTTGTCGTGAGACTCCAACACAGCTGGAAAACAGTTTCACAGAACTCTTCACGCTAGTAAATAGGACGTGGCCCACGCACGACCCGTTTAAAAGCGCTATGTGTAGCATTTTATGTTAATCAGACTCAACCCAGAAAAAAAAGAAACATAATCTTTGTTGCTTCCTGTCCCGAGGCAGACCTTCCTTGTTCTCTGTGACGTCTTTCTCCAAAAGCTGCAGCATCTTCTGCAAAACACATGTATCGAGGCTCAACAACAAGCGTGTTTCGGAGCGTGTTTGGCAGTCGCCGTCGCCTGGGAGGCTCTCCAGGGACTGATCTGACCCGCAGATGGAGGGTCAGATGGGAGACAGGGCTAACGTGCTAATCTGCTAGCATGTTGATTGCAGGCTGAGCACTACTGGATGAGCTATTTTTAAAAAATATTATCATAAAATCTGTGGGTTTGACAATGCTTTTTGAAGAAAAAAAAAAAGTTGCAAAGCTAAATGTAGGTGGAAGACTTGAGAAACAACAGCACGATTCAAAGTTACTAATTTTCTTTTTACCGAGTATCAAAATGAGCCTCGTCTTGCAGGTCATGGAAGTCCCTCATGTCCTCACCCAGATTTTGATTATACACAGTGCTTATAAAAAGTATTTACCCCACTTTTATTGCTTTTCAACATTACTTCACGGTCAATTTAACTTCGCTTTTTTTGACAATCAAGACTCTTTCGTGTCAAAGTGAGAACAGATTTCTACAACGTCACTTAATTAAAAGTATAAAATGTAAAATAAGTGATTGTATTCACCCCCTTTAAAGTGACTCATCCGGTTCAACGGTGCAGTGATTGTGTCTCAGTGATTGTGGTATAAAGACACTGGTATCTGGAAGGTCCAGTCACTGGTGAATCAGTACTACTGGATAGAACTACACCATGAAAGCAAAAGAACACTAAGAAGCTCTGTGAAAAGGTTATTGACAAAGCTTAAGTTGGAAGATGATCCAGAAAATCCATCATTGAAGGAGGCCACCTACGACTCCTCTGCAGAAGTTACAAGCTTCAGTGACTCAGATGGAAGAAACTGTTCATACAACTGTTGTCTGATCTTCACCAGTCAAAGCTTTATGGGAGAGTGACAAAGAGAAAGTTGCTGTAGTTAAAGAAAGCTCATATTAAATCTGAGCTCATCCACAGGCATGTGAGAGACTCTGAAGTCAACTGGCAGAAGGTTCAGCTTTTTGGAAATCAGACTAGATGCCATGTTTAAACACACCGTCTCCATTGTGAAGCATGGCGGTGGCAGCATCATAATCTTCACCTTATTGTGTGAAGCGCTGTGAGATGACATGTTGTGAATTGTGTTATATAAATAAAACTGCATTGACTTATGTGAAGCATGGTGGTGGCAGCATCATGATGCTTCTCAGTAGTAGACCCTGGAAGCCTTGTGAAGGTAGAGGGTCAAATGACTGCAGCAAAGTATAGAGGAATCATCCTGATGAAGTCTGCAAGTGAACTGACTTGGGAGAAGATTTGTTTTCCAGCAAGATAAACAGCCAACGACAAACAGAAATGGTTTAAAGACAACAAGATGAATGTTTTGGAGTGGTTGAGTCAGAGCCCAGACCCCAAACCAACTGAGAATTAATGGCTGGACTTTAAAAGGGCTGTTTCCTCATGATCCCTGTATAACCTGACAGAGATTGATCAGTTTTACAAAGAAGAATGAGGTAAGACCTATCCATACAATCTACTAAATACCGACTTGTTAGGGGTGAATATTTATGCTATTATTTATTTTACAACCTATATTTTTGATTCATTGGCTTTGCTTTGTAGAGATCTGTTTTTATTTTGACATGAAAGAATCTTTTTTGTATAGTCTTGTCCAAAAAAGACAAATTAATTCATTGTTGAAACACGATAAAGGTGGAAAACTTCCAGGAGGCAAATACTTTCCACAGGCACTGTACGCTTCCTGTTGCAGCTCTGAGTATTCGACCTTCCTGTCTTCTATTTGTAAAGCTGTTACTGCTACTTTTGACTGTTTAGCATCATTCTGTAATTTCCATTTGTGGCTACTGCGGCTGCACTCACTTGTTAAAATACTGCACATAGCACCTCGACATATTCTACCTACCATCCATCCACAAGGTCACAGATCTCACAGTCTGTTTTTCACACTTTATATTAATTTTCATTTACAGAGAACATGTCTGTCAGGTTGTATTTGTTTGTTCCCTCCAAGTCTGTTAATATTAATCTTCAGACAGAAAATAACAGCTGCTGTGCTTTCAGTATCGGTGGCCGGGTCCACAAATCCACATAAACCTTCCAGTCCAACGGGTGACTCAGCACTGCTCCTCCCCCAGCGAGTCTGTGTTCTCCCCCAGGTCTATGGAGGCCGACGTGGATCTCATCTTCCCACGCCCTGGACCCGGACCCGGGCCAGGACCGGGACCGGGACCCGGCCCCCCGACGACGAGGCCGGCCCTGGCTCCGCTGTGGCCCGGGTAGACCTCCACGGTGCTGGAGATGGACTGCAGGGATCGGTCCCGGAAGTAGTGGAAGGCCTCCTGGTCCAGGTAGCTCTGCTCCTCGCGGAGGCCCTGCTCGAACAGCTTCCGCTTGTGCCGGAACTCGATCACCGTCTTGGTGTAGGAGTTGAGGGTGGTGACGGAGGCGGCCATGCAGCAGGTGAAGGAGCCCCACGCCATGCTGGGTGGAGACACGGAGACAAGGTACAGAGGTCATTTAGGTGTTAAAAAAAAAAGGTCTACAACTGTGAAAACAAAGGAACACAAGATTTAAACAATTAGAAAAGGTGAAATTTAAACATTATTACAGTATTTACAGTTATGGCCTGTTTCCTTCAGTTTTTAAGGTCAACGGGGAAAATAAGTTTCTTTTTTTCTGTAATTGCACAAGATATCTGTGATTTAAGAATTTTGTAAAATAACAGTATGAAAAATATTGACTATTTTTTAATCCTTAATATACATATTTTT